CTGAGCTTAACGGCTGGCCCCAGAACCTGCCAGCCGGTTCCTAATTGTCACCAGAGATAGGCCGTGCAGGAGCTGCACCTCTCTGGTCACAGCATTGCCAGTCTCAAGAGGTCAAAAATCACGGGATGGGGGTGGTTTTATTTATTTATTTATTTATTTAAAGACAATACATTGCGTGTTTTTTGGGTCTGTTCTGATTGTTTATCTCTTTTCTTTCTCTCCTCCCCCCTCTTCTCCCCCCCACCCCTCCCCCGGGCCAGGTGCTAGAGTAGGGGAGAAGCACAGGTGCCTGCCTGTCCCCATTGCTCCCAGGAGAGTAGGGGGCGGAGTCACCCTGAGCTGCTGGGCTCTTTAGCTCCTCCCTCCCCATGAGAATGGCTCCAGATTGAACAGCTCTGATTTGGTTATTCTGCCCCAGGAGGCAGGCAAATGGAACAGCCAGCCAATCCAAGGGCTCAGATTTAGCACGCTGGCGCTTCTCATCAGCACTGGGCCGGCTCCAGTGCCAGCCAGAATTGCATCTCACCCGAGCACTGGCAGTGCTGTAGTCAGCTTTCTGGCTTCCTCGCTAGTGCCGCTGGCCCCCTTTATCTGTGGTCAAAGCCTTCTGTGTCGCTGGCGTTACTTGCCCTATTCAGACAGCGTAGGACTCTGCCCCCAGCTCCCCTCAGAGCATGAGGGAAGTTTGAACTTAGACAATAGAAGTGAAGGTGCTACTGGTCATGGGGGAATTTGTCCATCTCTCTTAGTTATTGACCTTTCTCTGGGATCTTTACTTCCTGCTCAACTGACGGGCTGGTTCCCAGGGTGGCACACGAATGCCAGTGCTGGGGGGATGGAGGTGCAAGGCTCACACTCAAACTTCCTCCTGCCGCCTTGGGGACCAAAATGCATTTGGAGCTTGGAGCTCCATTTCTCTAGCACAAGGGCACCAAGACCTAGGAGCGAGAATCCAGCCTCCAAAATTCCAAGCCAAGGACCTTTTTAGCTTTTGGATACAAGCCCAAGGGAAGCTCCTTTGTCCTGGCTGTTTGTAGAATTAATAAGCCTTTTAAAAAGAAGTTGAGGCTGGGGGAGATGTAAGAGCAGATCGCACTGCCCCTCTATGAAGGGGGGGTACTTGCTTAGGGGAGTTCGCTGGTCACTTTGTGGCCTGGTACGAGGCCTTTCCATCTCTGTGGGATGGACTTAGAGAAGAAATAATAAAATCTTTTCTTCCCCTCTAGAGCACCTCCCTCGGACGGCCGACAACGAATGAATGACGAAGGGGTGGAAGAAAGCTCATCAGAAAGCGGATTAAAACTCTCTTCTATTATTTTTTTTAAAGAAAAAGAAAATACTTTAAACTTCTAAATCTTAATTTATAACTTCTTCTTTTAACTGTGACTTTTAGAGCCAAGCGTTGTACTTTGCTGCCTCAGCCACTGCCTGGCTGGGAATGGACTTAAGTGTATCTTGCTCCCCCGGAAACCCCCAGCCGTTGCACTGTAACCAAACAAAAGGAGGCAATCGGAGCAGCCCCTTGGGCAGAGGGAATAAGTGCGACATTTCCCCTCTTAGAAGTGATATGCAGCAATCTCTCTCCAGAGCTATATTTTTTAAGAGAAACTTCCAATCTTTCTGTGATCGCGGTGTCTGTCTTTTTGCTACCTACTTAACAGCTTTTGGGTTCACTTTATAATATAACTTTAAAACCAGGTTCTCTTGGTATTCCCTCCTAGGTCCCGTCAGAGGCTGTTTTCAAGCAGCGGCGCGCACAAGGCCCTCTTGGCCTAGGCTGCGTTCTTGGGTTTTTGTTTTTGATGGAACACAGAAATAAAATCGATTTTGATTGGAAGTGTGTCCCTGACTGGGCTCCAGGAAGGGCAACACTTTTAAAGGGAACAAGGGCGTTTACGCCCTTCCTAACCTATGGGTGGATACGGCTGCTCGTCAAATAGGAGTTGAGGATTGCTTTACTGAAAGTTTTTAAAGTAGGTGAGGCCCCAGCAGACTGGACTCTAAGGGGGGCAATAAAAAGTATCTGCAGGTCAGATCCTTGGATCTGGCTGAATAACTATGAGACCTTGTCTTTGCTATACATACAAGGAGCAATGGTCTCAAGTTGCAGTGGGGGAGGTTTAGGTTGGATATTAGGAAAAACTTTTTCACGAGGAGGGTGGTGAAGCACTGGAATGGGTTACCTAGGGAGGTGGTGGAATCTCCTTCCTTAGAGGTTTTTAAGGTCAGGCTTGACAAAGCCCTGGCTGGGATGATTTAGTTGGGGATTGGTCCTGCTTTGAGCAGGGGGTTGGACTAGATGACCTCCTGAGGTCCCTTCTAACCCTGATATTCTATGAAAGTGGTGCTTTCTTACTGCATGCTACAATGCCAGCATGCAAAAGCTAGTATGCCCAGGAAAAGACAAGGCTCTCTTTCCCTCCCTGGCCCCCCAGCTTTTATTCACCCTGCTATCGTGGCTGAAAATTATAAACTGCCTTGTCTTCTCGGGGCTTTTAGCTGGAGTTAGTTAATGGGAGTTAAGAACACACCTCTCTCTTGTGGCGAGGACAAGACCTCAGGGGTGAAGGGTGGAGAAGATGAGTGAGCTGCGGCCTGCTCTGTTAGGCTAGTAGGAATGGTTGTTTAGAGACCCTCCTGCTGACCAGGCATTGCAGAAGCACTAGACTCTTGACCTACAGACCAGGGGTGGGGCAGAGTGGGGTGGGGGTGGGGGCAGGGGTGACTTGATGGGAGCTGGAGCTGAAAGGTTCAATAGCAGACCCACGGGCAGGGACCACAAGCTGCTGCTCTCTGATGGCTGGGTGTGGGGGCCAGCGCAAAATGAGTCTGTATGGTACCTTGGTCCAGATTCACATCATGGAACCCACCACCCCAAGAGGTACTAAGTGGCAGCCCCCACTTCAGGGCCAGGGGTGGCAGAGACCACCCTCCTCTTCACAGCTGGAGCTGGGCCCCTAGGTAAGGAGTGAGGTACTGGGTCAGGCACGCAGCAGCCTCTGCTCACGCCCTAAGTTGCCTGGGTGAACATGCAAATCATAAAGGGGATTGCTGGTCCCAGCCCACGTGGGCGTCAGAGCTCAGGGGGCAAGAGGTTCTCTAGAATTCCTCTCACCCGTTGGCTGAGCTCCTCCAACGCTAATGCTGACTCTAGGGGCTGAAGGCTGCTCCCGGGGAGCCTACCACCATATAAAACCATACTGCACCATGCTCCTGCTTTCTCGGGTTCCTTCAGCAGGCCCCAAAGACATAACCCGCACAAGGAGGGGAGAGGGGAGCAGTTGGTCAATAACAGCATTGGCCTGCCTTGGAAGGACAGAGCTGTGTCAGCCATACAGACCCCAGGGGTTCCAGGTATTCATAATATGAGGCTGATACAGCTGCGCCCTGGGATGGGGTACAAAGAGCTGCCTGCCCTGGGCATTTTACCTCTGTGGGGAGAGAAAGAGGCACTGCTCTTCCTCAATCTCCAGTGTGAAACAAGACCCTTTGTGCTGCTGGGGAAACGGACCAAGCGCTGAGAGGCAGAGCTCAGACACCTCCTTTGGCATAGGAGTCATGGCCCAGGCAGCCTTCAGCAGCCCCTTTGCCCCCAGCGTTCTTCCCCTGCAACAGCACCACTCCACAAACTCCTGCTCATCCCTCGCCAGCCTCCACTGCCCCTGCCTCATTTTACCAAGTGGAGTGAAAACCAATCAATCAATCCCAGGTCTGTGCAGTTAAAATGAATTGACTCCAGCTGCAAAATGCAGCCCCCGTGCCTTTAAAAGTGAAAGGAAAAAGGAGCAACAGGCCCAGGCAGGAAGTCTGTGGCCATGGCTATGGAGACGTAATGCAAGCACCGAGTTGGAGCAGTGGAAAAGGTTCTCCACACATCCGGGCCAGAGGGGGAGATAAGTTGTTCCCAGCACTAAGGCCTCATCTACTCTTTGTGCTGGCTGGTGCCTGAAGGATGGGAGATGTTCCAGCCCCCACTTCAGGGAAAGCACCCACCAGCTGCTACCTATGCAAAACATCTAGGGGCCTGACCAATGCCGCTCTGTCCTATGGAAAGTGATCGGCACTAGGGCCAGGCTGTGGAGAACAGGAGGTAGATACACACCTATACGTACCCAGGCAGGTCCACCTAGGCAGTGGAACTGATACACTTGCTAGAGATCTATTTTGAGTAACATCTGACTTGCCGGCTACTTTAACAAGACCCTGGCCTGACCGAGAAATGCTTGTTAAATAGCTTCCAGGCCGTTTTTTTAGTGGCGGTCATTATTAAAAGTTTATTTGAAATCATCAGCCTTGTGAGTTTGGTTATGCTGTAACCATCCAATACATTCAAAACACACAGTTCTAGTTCCAAGATTAGCTATTACGTTACCTGTTCAACAAAGATCCTACCAAATACCAGGGGTAAGCGGGGGATGGGGAAATACAGCCATATAAACTCATTTGCCTGTTTAAAAAATAAAGGAAGCCTGCATTCCTCTAGTATGCTAATGTCCCTCTGCAGCCCACTTAATTTGGTTAAGAAGATCAGAGTTCATTGCTGCTGCTGCATTTAATGTCCGTTCAGTGTGAGGAAAAGCCACTGGCCCATTCTTTAGCTTGAGCATTCTCAAACCTTGCCTACCGCCTTCTTGATTAGATTTTCCCCACCACTCCGAGGTGACCCATGGACCCGGAGGCGCTTCGAACCCACTGCTAGCCAGGTTCTCAAACTAAGCTCTCTAACGCTGTGATGAAGCGCAAAGCGTTGCTCAAGCAATCAGGGGATTTCAGTGGCTGAACGCTCCTGCCCATGTAATCTGGAATAGCATGTGCTTCAGAGGGTGGGATACTGCCTACCCCAGCCTGGTCCTTTAGGAACGGGGAGAGAAGACCTGTGCTACCTATCAGCATTGAATACATGTTTAAGAGCTGCTGGCAGGTTCAGTGAATTTGGAGGTTGCACTGAAGAGAGATCCAGACATACCCCAGCATTATCATTCAATGCTGTGGCAGGCAGCCACAAACACTTGGTTCTTTTTCTTGGAACAACCAGGCAAGTCTGCACCCGTGGCTGACCATCCCAAGACCATGGTTTGAGAACTCATCCAGACCCTCAGAGCCATATATAAGCGAACATAGGGCCTGATTCTCCTCACATATACTGGTGTAAACCGGACATAACGCCACTGAAGTCAATGGCGCTCCACCGCTGTAAGGGAGGGAAGGATCATGTCCAGAGTATCTAATTAACAATACACTGAGATAATTCAATTGAAATTGACCATGTTTTGGACTGGATCCCCTCTTCCCATTGGACAGTGCTGATGTTACAGGAGCAGTGGTACTGCACACGCCCCATGGCTATTCAGACACCTGTGGTTATACATGCAGCTGCTAATGTGCTCTGATTAGCCAAGAAAGCACTAAGAGCTTTATCCTTCGCCTGCCTTTGATGGCAGTTCAGGGGGGCACGGCATCCTTTCTCCACTAAAAGTCCTAATATTTTGCTGGCTTGCTACAGCACATCTTGGTATAGGGAGAGGCACTGGGTTTGGCGGACAAGGATCTATAATCTACCCATTTGGATCGCCTGCTAAGACGATCAATATTACTCAATGCCTGAACAGAGGCACTCAGCGGCTGCTGCTGTAATTCAGGAAAGCAATTTAAAAGCGTGAGTGAAATAGAGCAAGAATGTGAGCGGTAACTCTGCAAACTGGAGGCAGAGACAGAAGGTGCCAGGCCTCTGCGTCCTCTTCTACTTGGCAGGTTCTAGGAGGGAGAGGGAGAAAAGAGGGAGGAAATTAGATAGACCTGAACCCAGGAAGTGATCCAGCCGGATGCAGTGTGTGTTTCGGTGAAGCAACAATCCAATCATTGCTTTGTTCTGCTCCAATCACCGTCAGGGTGAGGCCAATACAAAGCTCCTCTCCGGCTGGATTGACACGGGTCACGTGAAGTGACGTGACAGGCGAAGACTAGATTTCACTCCCATCCAGAGTCCATACACCTGGCCATGTAGCCACGGGTGCCAGCCTTAAAGCCCCCACACTGCAGCAAGAAAATAAAAATCCAAACGGCACTTTTCCGTGCTGCTCCTGATTCCATTGGATAGGTGGCCTGGGTCTGCGAAGGCCTTTGCCCCCCTGCTTCTGGGATATCCATACTTCTCATCTATCCCCCAGCCCAGATCAACCTGGTGTTATAGCAGGAATGATTTACTACAGGGATGCTGAGCTGCAGACCTGAGTGGGACAAAGCACTTATTTCATTTGAAAGAAATAGCGCTCGCATTAGGTTTAGCTGCCCGTGCTATTTTCCCTGTGTCCTTCATTTGGGCCTCATTAGTTTGAGGGGAGTGTCGAGACACCGAAACACGGCTATAGCCCAGACAGCAAAGGTCCTTCCTTCCTCTCCCTTGCTTATTCCTGATCATCCCTGTGCCACACGGCATCATGTCACCCGGCCACTGGGCCTAGGACTCTAATCAGCCAACTCTCCCCATCCCCTCGCCAAGTCACAGCCCCCAACCCTAGGCTGGCTCAGACTCTCACCTTTCCCAGAATCCAGCTTCAGCAGATCCACACCCGAATACATCAGTTCTTCGGTTTCCAAACCACTCGGAGTAACTGCAGCAAGACACAGCAAGAGATTGGGCATTTTATAGCATGCCTGAGACAGGCACGTCCATCTCGGCTACCAACACACCTAGGACGCTTTGTGCTAGCCTGGATCATCATTACATGCATGTATTCATCAGAACCTGCCCTACACACTGACGTGTGGGCTCTGATTTTCCTGAGTGTCTGATTCACCAAGGAGTTTTAGACACCCCACTTCTGTGTGTGTGTGTCAGGCTAACAGCCGTATTTGGGGTCGCCGCCTTCAGCGGTGGGATGAAAACGGGGAGCTCGGGGATTCGTGGATCGCTTCCCCCGCCTCTGAGAGCAAAGACCCTTCATTTCTTCAGGGAAGGTTCTGTGGGGCACTGGCCGTATGTGGGCCCAGACTGGAGTCTGGACACAGCTGAGATAGTCCTCCTGCTCTGGTTCTCTGAGAGGGGTGCTGGCCAGGCCGGGCTGGGATGGTGACAGCTATCCCCATTTGACTAAGCCAATAAGGGCGGAAGCTTCAGTTCATACATTTTCAGAGTGCTCCATTCAGAAAAGATGGTAGCAACATAAGGGCGCCCAGTAGCAGGGAATCAATGGTCTCCCAGGATATGGGGGAGTGAGAACGCAGCGAAGGGGATAGTTCCCATTCTTCAGCCAACTCTGGGCAGACATAGGTAGTGCAATCTCACCCTCTATCGTTTGTCCATGTCTACGATCCTCCGCCTTATATTTGCTCCTAATAGGCTGCATTTCCTATTGTGTTATCTGGGTTCTTCCCAGTGATGACCTAGGGTCTGATCTTGCCAGGCGCTGAGCACCTGCTGGTTGATGCTGAACACCCAAAACTCCCACAGGGCCAGTTGCTGAGTATTCACAATTCTTCTTGGTTTCCTTTGGAGTTGTGGGTGCTCGGCGTGTCTAAAAAACAGCTCCATTGACTTCCATGACAATTGAACGTGCTCAGGAGTTCGCAGGATCAGGACCCAGTACAGGTGCAGGAGCACGGCAGTGCCCTGAATCCTGTTTCTCAATGAACGCTCTGGGCTGCATTCGACTTTCCCAGACTGATTGATTTACCAGCCAGTCCAATGGCCCCGCATTGACACAACCAGGGCCGGCGCTTCCATTTAGGCGACCTAGGTGGTCGCCTAGGGCACCAGGATTTGGGGGGGGGGGGCATTTTGCCACCCTTGGCGGCAATTCGGCGGCGGGGGGTCCTTCCGCACTCCAAGTCTTTGGTGGCAATTCTGTGGCAGGTCCTTCACTCGCTCCGGGACCCGCTGCCGAAGTGCCCCAAAGACCGGGAGCACGGAAGGACCCCCCCCCACTGCAGAATTGCCGATGACAACCAGGAGCACGGAAGGACCCCCGCCTAGGGCGCCAAAAACCCTGGCGCCGCTCCTGGACACAACGCCCACTGCGCTCATCAGCTTAGCGGAGCTAGAACACACGAGATCATAGGCAGCGTCAAACATGCACATGTGCTCCTCTCCCGTTCCCCTGGCCGGCCAACGTGAAATAAGCTCCTACCAGGGCAGTCCAGCTTTCCACGGGTCTCAGTGCCTTCGATCTTGGTGCCATTTTTGTAGACGCACCAACAGTACCCCGTGCTGGAATAGCACTGCTTGGGAAGATAGTCACCATGTTCGTCACACTGGGGGCGGAACCGACCCGGGTAGACACCACTAAAACTTGATTCCGCCTGGCACTTAGATTGCACTAAAGCAACAAGCACAGGAAATACCCATGAGTATGTTTTATTCTCCCCCCCACCCCGCTGGGGTCTTACCAACATTCTTAAGCCCTGGAGGCTATTCAGCCAATCCAATAGCTTGCTTGCGTGAGCACTGAAGAGGCGGCGGGATACATTGGGCAAAGAACTTCTCCACACTGGGCCGGCCCATTGGCACCACCCCAGGGTGGGAAGGGATAGGGAATACCACTGTGCAAAAATATACTAACTTCACTGGGACAACGGCTTTATCGGGATTACTCCCAGGAAACCCATTTAGCCTCGTGATAACAAAGGGTAACGGCTGCTGCTTAATGGAGACAGCATTAATATAAAGTCTGCTCACGGGGATGCAGCCAACCACTGCTGAGTGACTAAGTGGCTGGGAAATCAAGGCTTGGAGCTCTCCATACTGAAGCAGCTAGATGAGGAAGTGAGAGGCATCTCAGCGAAATCTCCGTTTCACCTTTGGATCCAATACAGGTTGTATGTGATTATAAGGCTTTTCAGGCTTGTTTAAAAGTGGGTTCTTGTCTATCCCCGTAGGATGCTCCCATATGCATCAAATTGCTGGGGGGGGGCCCTTAATCGGGGCACTGGGCCCCTTCCATGAGGATCCCCCATTTGGCTGCAATAATTGGGATTAAAAATGAATTGTTCTTTATAGACACTTCATGTGTGCCCACCAGGGTCAGCCCAGCCTGGAAGTGGAATGAATTTTGCTTCTGTTGTGACGGGGCAGAATTCAAAGCAGCAACCCTTGCGAGGCAAAGAGCCAGTGGGCCAGCCCCACCGGTTTGTGAAGAGCCAGAGTGTCAACCGATCTATTTCCAGGTTTTCTTAAGGCGGCGGCGATTGGCCTAAGGCCTACTCTGCTCCCAGCGCAGGATGCAGCTTTGGAAATCTAGCTGCTAAAAGCTGACTCACAGCACACCCCGCCTCAAGGATTTGGGAAGGCAGTCCCATAGCATCAGGTTTTGTACGGCCTCCAGCAAAGCTCAAACCCTTGTTCCCTGGGATTTTCCCTGACATTCCTCAAAGCAACTCCTCAGGCTGATGGGCCCTGAAGTGCCCCAGTGGGCCAATAGTAGCCGTAACCTGCAGCCTCAAGGATGGGGTGAAGACTACAAGTTTGGCAAAAAATGAGGTTCTCAAAGGGACACAGGAGGACTCTGGGGAAGGAAAAAATCCCTAGTTACCAAAGAGCAGAACCATTCCAAGAGGGTACGTGCTTCCACTGCCCTCCAAGGTGCTCTGAATCTTGGCCAGTGATCTCCTGGGTTGACCATTCCTACCCTAAAGGAGTTTGGTGACCCATAACCCCGATACCTTCATCTGCTGGGATCTCAGTAGGTTGCACAGTTTGTGGGGCTTTGGCCATTTCAAAGAGCAGCCACTTGTGCATCCAGGATTCAAAGGACTGCAAGAGACCAACAAGGGGAAGGAGGTGTTGTTAATAAAATGCACCCAACAAAAACGAATGCCCCAGACAACTGGCATAGCCCCCTTACCCACATCTGATCAGCGTGACCCTGGAGCCCTCCCTGCTTTTGTGCTCTCACGTCTGCAGCACAAAGTCAGGAGCAGGAGAGCTGGGGTCCCTTGTGAACCCCCAGCCTCCCCTGCAATGTAACCATGACAGCAGCCCGGCTGCAGGCTGTGCTTTACCATGCAATGCAGCCATTCTCCCAACAGGAGACCCCCATTCCAGCCCCAGCCCAGTCCAGGCCGTTCCCTGGAACGGGTGCAAAGGAGGAGGTGGAGCTGCAGTTGGTCCACTAGCCAGCTGACCGAGTGAGAGCACTCACCTGCCAGTCTCGGTCTGTCATGGTGTTCTTCAGGTGGTTCAGATTCTCCATCAGGTTGTTCTTTAACTCAGGGAACATCTTGCTGGGGTCTGCCCGCTACAGGAGGACAAAGGGGACAGGACAGCGTTAACAGCAGGCTGACACCTGGGAGCCAGAGAGAACTCACCTGCCACAGTCAAGCCGGCCCCCTGGGAACAAGGGAACACCGAGCCATGAGCCTACACGAATGAGAGCAGCAGATGAAGGGACAGAGAGAGAAACGCAAGGCTGCTCCTAACCCAATGGCTCTTTAATCGTCCATACCCCTCGCCCAAAAGAACCAATAGGCTAATAGGGCTGAAAGGAAGTGGGTCTGTGGAAGTGCCCAACTATACCTGGCTGCTGCAGACAGACCCGTGAGCGTGACAGAGGCAGCCACAGGAACAGAGAGGAGGCTCTTACCAGCAGCAGATGTTTGACTTGATCCGGGGTGCTGTTGCTAAGCTTGGCCGTGTTCTCCAGGGGCTAGAGAGGGGAGAGAGAGAGAGAGAATTGGAGTTGTGATGGTCAGGACGAGGAGCTGAAGAGCCAGAGACTTAAGGCAGATGGCCTGGAGCTGGAATGGGATGGGCAGGACATGTTCAGTCTTGGGGGTTCTTTTTGGCAGACACGGAGTCACTTGGCTACCAGGGAGCCAGGCTGGTGAGGGTGGACGCTGCACCACAAAAACCTTCAGCAGAACTTCTTCTTCACCTCAGGGCAGGCTAATTCCTGGAAATACTGGACCCCACCAGGAAGTGGAACCTTTCTCAAAGCCTGCGAGCCCTGCACAGTCCTGTCTACGGCACACAGAAGAACAGAAGAGCTTTGGGAAATACCAAGCTGACCACCTCCAACCGCTCCCCTTTCCCGGCCCTTTCTCACTCACTGTCCGAGAGGGGCTCAGCACACAAACTCCTCCCTACAAGCTCAGGGGAAAGAGCAAGGCAACTACTCTTATTCTAGGGAGTGAATGGGCCAGGACCTGGGGAATGGGACACAGAACTTTCATCCCTCCGTCACTGGTGTGAATGCAACAGGTCGGAGATGGTGGTCGCCATCCAGGTACTAATGGGTGGGTTTCCGCAGCACTTCGTGTGTGTCGCTCTAGTTGGGAGAAGATCCAAGGACTGAACAGACCTCTAGGAGTTGGGACCCAGTAACCAGCAGCAGAAGACCCAGCCACCGGAGAGAAGCCCAAGCTGCTAGTGAACAGTGCGCATTGCAAGGTGCTGGCTGAGGTCTCAGAGGTGGGATGGCCGGGGCTACTTTCTGCTTCTCTCACTGCTGACCACATAGCACTTACGGCACAAGGCTTAGAAGAAACCACTCAACCATGTTCCCAAACAGGGGACAAAACTGCTGCCAGAGCAGCATTCAAAACTACATGCAGAGGGATCCAGGGGACGTCTCTTACCGTCATGTCCACCTTCGGGGCGAGTGGCAGCTCCCTCATGACCATGGGCATGCTGAACTTGGCCATCCTCAGCTTGGAAGTTGGCTTGGCACCTGCAGAGGAAAGAGAGAGGGAGATGAATGGACCCCCAAAGTCCATTCTGGGCTCAGTGTCTCCATAAGCGGGAGTCGAATCAGCATAAGGGTCCCTGTGTTTTAGCTTCATGGGACTTTATCACCCTCAGCCTGAGCTCAGTGCCTATCCTGCGCTGTTCCCGTGCTGCAATGTCCAGGCTGTTGTTTTTATCATGCTAGTTCCAGCAGAGCTAGTGTGAGTCTATCAGCCCAGGCTGGGAAACATACATGGAGTCACTGACCCTGTGGCCAATGCTCCAGCCAGCCCTGGCAAGACTCCAGCCAGTTTCCCAGGGCCTAGTGTTGGGGGCAGAGGCGATAAATGGTTCCTTGGTAGGTTCCACCCAGAGCTCCAGCACGATGGGCAGGAAGAGCACCACAAGGGCTCCCTCCTCCCACACGCCGCAAATGGATGGAAGGATAAAGCAGCGCCCAGATGGCCTCCATTCTGATCAAAACTCTCACCCGTGCAAGTTTCACTTCCCTCTCTCCACGGGTAGGGGGCGAGGAAGGAAACATGCCGCGAGTCAGTAGGGTAAGGCAGCACGGGAACCACCGTCTCCAGAAGGGGGGCAGGAGCTAGTCTAGATGACTCCAGGAGCCCTGTTAATAGCACGCTCCAGAACTTTCCTCCATCTCTCTGGGGAGCTTGATCTCCACCGGCCAAGAGAGTCAGGGGGGCGCTCTGGGACTGTGAAGTACCCCCAACTGGCCTAGACTTGTGCCCATACAGTGCAATCAGGCTGGGCAATGACTCACTTTGGGGGAGTTTCCTGGTCATGGCCTCCAGCTGCAGATTCTGGGAGGTCTTGGTCAGTTTGCTGATCTGGCCACTCTGCTGATACACGAAGTAGACGGTGACGGCCTGGCCGGCAATCAGCAGGGCCACCAAGATGGAGACAGCAGAGTAAACGGCTCCGCGGCTGCAGTAATTCCTGCAAGGTACAAGACAGAGGGAGGCTAGTGCTCGGCCAACGCCAGCTGCAGCCGCCCGCATCAGCCACACTGCACTGGCACTGTGCGCAGAATATGCTATTCTCCAGGGGTTCTTCTACCACCCTTGGACTGGAGCACCGACCAGCACAGCTTTCAGGAGAGCATTGAGAGTTCGTTCTCTCTCATCCTCTCCCCGGGAGATGGGCATCACGCATGTGCAGTGGAGGGTTTTGTTTTGGTAATTATTTTCGTTAGCGGTAAAACAATTGTTCTCAGGGCGGCCCATCCTCAGTCCGGGCACTGAACTATTCCGCTCTGGCAAGCTCCGGCCCATCTGAAAGCATCCGTCACTCATCCAATGTCCTCCCCACACTAACGCCATGGAGATTTGGGTTAGATCGGACCGATCAGCTACTTCGTCCAAACTAGATGGAAACGGCGTGACTACTGGGACTTCCAACGCTTTCCTTGGGAGACGATTTCACGGGCCAAAAGAGCTCACTGCCGTCATTTGTCATGCTGCGTGGAAATGCAAGAGCTAAGAGCTCTTCTTGCCATGTGAGACCTGGCAGGGGAAGTGAAACAGTTTTCTAAACGGTGGGGGTGGGGGGTGGGGAGGGAGGGCGGTGTATGTGTGTGTGTGTGTGTTTGTTGGGGTAGGAGTGCAGGGGATTGGTTGCTGGAGAAAATAATATCAAACATCTAGGACTGTGAAGAGAACTCTTCCAAGAGGCCACATGGAGTTGAAGAGGTTGTGAAGCAGTACATGGTATACTTTGCGAGCATGTCAGTATAGGGTAGTTTATGTACACAATTGTTAAATGCCTTTTGCCTCCATATTTTGCCCGTTCTCTCAAGGTAGGGCACGATTCAATACCAGCTGAAGGCAATAGTTAAACTCCCATTGATTCCAGTGGGTACTGGATCAGATCCATAGGTACCATCCTCAGCTTGGCATGAGAAAATCCAGATTAGGTTGGGGGAAGGGGAAATGGAGAAAATTGGCCATGTTACTGCTCCTGTTGTTCCCACGGCATGCGTAAGAGAGAGAAGAGTTGTCAAGCATTATAACTGAAAATGTATATGTAATTTGGAGACTCTGGAAAATCAGACTCAAAACTTAACATAAAAGAGTGGACCCCCTGATTCATGGGAACAGCTTTGTTCACGAGGATAAAGGATAATCTAGAGATTACTGGGTGATAAAGAACTATTTGATTGTATAGAAAGACCATTCCTATTTTCGGGTAATGGATAAAGTACCATAATCATACTGCTACACCTCTTCTTGCACTGTATTCATCTCTCCTTTTTCCTGTTCTTTTGTCTTCCATACACATAGATTTACTGATTATAGTTCTTTTGCGAGTTCATTTCACACACTTATAATTTTAGTAGCCTAAACTTTAGGCATTTTTAAAAACCTTAACAAAATATCACTTCTATAAAGAATTTGACATGCTTTTATACCCTCTCCTATTTGCTTTTTCTCCCAGGTGAAAGCACATGGAGCAACTCCACATTATCTGGCGAGGGAAATAATTAGCAGACTAATGGACTGAAAAGCTGTCCTAGGAACAAGAGCATCCCAGCAGGGAGCTTGCTGAACGCTGGAGGAGCAGTGTCCTATTGCAAAAGGCCAGCTCTGTGCTTAGATACGCATGCACAACTCCCACTGAAAGCAGCAGGCCTGGTGCGCATGTATCTGGGGATGGACTCTGCCCAAGTTCCACTTGCTCGACAATTAGAAATTAGTATTAAAGCAGGTTTCAAAAAAGACTCCCAAATGACGTTTCTACCTTGCAACTGATGAGGTCACCCATGAACTGACCTATTAGAAAGAAGCTCCAAAGTTCCACAGACTACCTTTTTTTGCACCCAGCCTTCATTCTTCGCAGGTGTTATTGGAAGGAGGGGGCGGGTGTTTTAGAAAGGCAGCTAGATTGATCAGAGAGGGACCCTCATTTACTAACAAGGTGGCAAGACTTGCAAACTGCTGATGGGCCCAAGCCAATAAGTACTAAAGCGTGCCACAAATATTCCGAGAAGCTTTGCGCTAGACATGCTGTCTCGCTATAGGAGCAGATCCTACAAACTCTCTTACGGAGCAGTCCCATTGGCGTCAATGGAACTACTCACATGAGTACGGGCTACTCAAAGAAGTAAGGGTTTGCAGTAGGGTGACCAGACAGCAAATGTGAAAAATCGGGACAGGGGTGGGGGGTAATAGGAGCCTATATAAGAAAGACCCAAAAATCAGGACTGTCCCTATAAAAATCAGGACATCTGGTCACGCTAGTTTGCAGGATCAGGCCCATCGGTTGGAGAAAACAGAATTTGTGTGTGCGCTGTCTCTGTGGCTGCTACGGCACAGCCACATACACAGTGACATAAAAAGTAAATTCAGCCTGGAGCTGATCCAGGCTTGGTCAAGCAGGTTCCTTCCTGCGTCCTGTGTTACTGTTCTGAGCGTCCTGCAAACCATCCCCTGCCTGGCAGCTCCTGATGTCATGAGACATCTGATTTCTCAGTGGCTGTGTGGTTATCAGGTTGGCTGCTGCCCAATATTGCATTTCCCTGTGCTCAGGGGATGGTTACTGATTTGTACAAATGCAGCGATGTTAGAAAACCCCAGGAGACAGCCCTTCCTTCTCAAAGCCTTTGCACTAGGATCCTATATACTGGTACAAATGCTAGGGACAGTGGGAGATATCTGCCCTCCTCCGGCTGTATCTGCTCAGGAAGTTTGATCCAAGCAATGCTTCAGGCCGAGAGGAATTCCACAAACACTGGATATTAAAGAACAGCATCCCTAGCACCCTGAGCGGAAGATGGGGGCACAAAGTTAAGTTGTATTGTCCAAGCTCCAGGACACTACGCACCTAGAAGATCACATTCTCCAGGGGAGAGTTTCCAGAAAGGGGCAGTCAAGGGTGTTGAATAAAGGCACTCATTTAAAAATATTGCCTGGCTGGGGCTTGATTTACAGGTCAGATCTGTGTCGCCATAGACCCAATTTTCCGTGCGCACACCACAGCCAGGTGGGGTCAAGTCTGCTGCACGGGTGTCTAAGGCACATGCTGCTCAAACAACGAGAAGGGCGTATTTGGTATGCAGAATCACGGCTAAACGGCTCATTGGAACTGGGACGAACAGGGCCGAGCAGGGCACAGATGCCGCCAGCCAAGGGAATAAAATAACTCAAGAGATTTTGCATGATTCCCATGTCGGGCTTTGGTTACCACGGGGCCAGGTCACAAATAGGGCCAAAGATTCCCGAGGGAGTTGTGCAGTGTGGGGCAAGGAATAAAGGGCAAACAGCTTCCCAACCCCCCCTCGTTGGTGGAAAGCCCCTCCTGCAGGGTGGGAGATCCTTGCGCAGATACCACAAGCGGTCACGCAGCTGGGCTTGAACGCTGGGCTTTTTAAAGAGCCCCGTACTCTCCCCCATGTTAAAATAAGGTAACCAGCTGCCCATATCTGAGTTCAGGAGAAAGAAGGGAAATTCAAGTTCAACATTCAAGCCCTGCTTGGGACTCTGGTCAGGTCAACCAGTGAAGAACTCATTTCCCTTGAAACTCCGTCAGCTCACGCTTTCCACTACCAAGATTTAAACGGCCCCTCCATTCCATTAACTGAGCCCACCTTCCTTCTCCTGCTTCCAGAGCCCTCTCCACCTTCCCCTGCCCCCCAAAAAGAAATAAAAGGGGATTGAAAACATAGATGAGGAATACCTCTGTGCTCCAGAGTCTGGGGCCATGACGCCATCAGCAGGTCGCTCCTGGGTGGAGATCAAGTCCCGTCTGTCTTCGTCTTCCATGGTGCCTCTTTCCCTCTAGCTGACTTCTGCTCCGCAGCTGGCGATGTTCTGGGCTCTGCCTGCACCTCGCACCCTCTCTAAGTTGCTGCTGAAAAGGAAACTAGATCCTGTTCCTTTGAACTTTCTTGAAGCACAAAAACTAGGAAGTGAAAGCTACAAAATATCAATAGTTGGAAATACCCCACCAAAGCCTGCCCACCCCCAGGCCAGCCACATAGAACCGTCAGCCAGGGCTATTATTTAAAGTGTGGCATTAGAAATAATCCTATTGGCTACTCAGAGGGCATCACTTGTTCCTAGGCAAACCTTTGAATTCACAGTCCTCATCTTGGAGTTGCATGTAGGGTGACCAGACAGCAAGTGTGAAAAATCGGGATGGGGGTTGGGGGGTAATAGGAGCCTATATAAGAAAAAGACCCAAATATCGGGACAGTCCCTATAAAATCGGGACATCTGGTCACCCTAGTTGCATGAGTGGATGGAACCAGCACAGTGATCGCACTGTCAAATCCCCAATGGATATAAGAGAGACAAGGTGGGTGAAGGAAACTCTTTTACTGGACCAATGTCTGGAGGGGAGAGAGAGAAGCTAGAGCTCTTCTTTGGGTCTGGGAAAGGTGCTCCCGATGTCCCAGCTAAATACAAGGTGGAACAGATTGTTTAGCATATGTTGTAAGAGGCCATTCAGCGTGAAACAGGCAACATTTCCCTCTCCCAGATCAGTTCTGAGGCAAGAGATTTTGCATCGAATCAGGACGAATTGTGAACTCTGCAATATTTAACACAAACGCACCCACACATAATGGCTTAGAGGCAGACTTTGCCTTTTGAGCTACATACTTGGGGCCCTGCACAAGCATCTTAGGGCAGCATTTCACTTTTGGGGCCAGTGTAAACTGGTATCACTCCATTGACTCCAGTGGAGTTCTGCTGTTTCACTAGCTGAGGGCCTGGCCCTTAGCTTTTACATATTTCATCCTACCACTTGCAAAAGGGTTACTGGGGGAAATGTAAATGGATCAGCACTAAGGACACACCCAGTCTCTCCTTAGATCCTGCTCACTTACACGTGATTAGGGTTGGACTAGCCATGCTAGAGGTTTAGTGGAAGAGTTTTTATTTAAAGGGGGGGGAAGGGCTTTTATTTGAAAAGTAATAAGTTACCCTTTGGGCTGACCCCTGCCAGGTTGCTCTCAGCACATGTTCTGTTTGGCTAACGTTTCAGTCTGTCAAGGGTGGGGGGAAATATGTAAAGCAGGTACAAGTGCCTTTTTGCAATTATATCACTTAAAATGGCTTCTTTTCCATACTTCAACTTGCCTGAGATTTCACAAAGCGCTGTGCCTCCAGACCACGACAGAATGTGGCCGGGTTTTGGGACGTGCACAAAGCACCCAGGAGCGCCCCAGACCAGCAATGGAAACAGGTGGGTGCCGAGCGCTTTGGAAAATCTGGCCCGTAGCCAGAAATAATGAAACTGACTTGTCTGAAAAGATTTGATTTGGTCAGGTCAGGACCCAATGCTGCAAATCCTTACTCACAGGGCTAAGCACTATACACACAAGAAGTCCCCCAGCAGCTAACAGCACTGGGCGTGGGAGTAAGGATTACTCACGTAAATCAGTCTTTGCAGCACTGGAGCCTAAATTATCAGTATTTAAAGCTGTGTTTTATGCACATGCAAAAGAGCATTTTCTATTAACTTTTTACTACACCAAGATCCAGCAATACATCTAGTGTATGAGAGGATATCTGAGGCACTGAACACTTAAGATCAACATAGTGGCATTTATTCAGGGATTATACATTCAAATAAGAATAACTGGAGCATTTCAGCGTTCAAGCCGTTTTAGAAGACTTAGGAAATTAAATCAGAACATTACACTAAGGTTACTTATGAGATTTCAACTACATGAAAGCCAAGACATTCCTGTTTTATAATCCTCTCAGAAACCATTACTTGGGCACATCGCACATGGAGAAAGCATCCGACATGCTTTTCTACACACTCCTATTTGCTTTTTTCTCCCAGGTGAAAGCACATGGAGCAACTCCGCATTATCTGGCGAGGGAAATAATTAGGAGGCTAATGGACTGAAAAGCTGTCCTAGGGGAACAAGAGCATCCCAGCAGGGAGCATGCTGAACGCTGGAGAAGCAGTGTCCTATTGCAAAAGGCCAGCTCTGTGCTTAGATACGTATGCACAACTCCCACTGAAAGCAGCAGGCCTGGTGTGCATGTATGTGGGGATGGACTCTGCCCAAGATCCCCTTGCTCGACACAGTTCATCAGCAATTGGTATTAAAGCAGCTTTCAAAACAGACTCCCAAATTACGTTTCTACCTTGCAACTGATGAGGTCACCCACAAACCGACCTATTAGAAAGAAGCTCCAAGTTCTGCAGAGCTTGGATCAAAATCCAAACTTCCCCAACGTTCGGGGCAAATGGGTTTTGCAGGCTGGTTCAGGCACGTTCTTTACATTAAGACTTAAGAAGAAAATATCCCATATCAGTGTGGGCACCGAGTACCAGCTGCTGTTGGAGCACTTGCTCTGAGCATTTAAAATCTCCATCACAATGTTGCACTGACCGTTTTTTTAATTTACACTGATTATAATATTTTGCACTTCTACAGCACCCTTCATCAGAGGATCTCAACGCATCATCATTATTAAACCCATTCACCAGACACCCATTAGAGAGCACTTTACGTGGCTTGAAGAGGGTCATTACACTTCCCCAACAGAAGCGGCAAAAACCTTGGACTCCCTGGCGGTCAGGAGCTTTTTGACAAAAGGACGCAGAGAAATCTAGCCAGGCAGCTAGGGACCCAGGATTTCATAGTTTATTCAGCCTGGGCAAAGCCATGTATCCGGAAACTCTACGTGATGCCTGGTTGACTTTTAAGTGTAATTCCAGCAGGAATGAACATGACAGCTTAGAGATAAGGGATATAGCGAGTTCACTTCACCCACTCATGAAATGCAGCTATCCCGAGGCTGGAAGACAGCAGCTAAGGATTCAGTCCAACTCTGACCGAAACCAAAAGACAAAGGCGCGATGTTGCACATAGCAACGCTAGACAGCAGGTGATGAAGTACCGGAAAGAGGGCTTGGGAGCGATGGCAGAGAGCACAGATTGCCGCAGAATCAAGAAGGGCCGGTCATGACAGCTGGACCTGGGGGAGAAATCCCAAACATAGTCTGAAGCTTTGTGCTGGGTAGGAGTGCATTTTATGCATCTTCCTCAGACAGAGGCATTCTTTCCTCTTCACACTTTGGCCCTGCTTGAACGACTTCCCCTGCCAATGATGTATTTGGAATCTGTGTCCAATTGAAACTACAGGAGGAATTTAGGGAGGCAGGACAATGGAGTTAACAGGGCTATGGGATCTTCACCTCTAATTTATGCCTCATCCCAAAGGTCTCACCCAGAGCTGCACTCCATAGGGCCCATAACATGGTGCTGGGTTGTTTGTCTGACACCTACTGTATTGCCACAGAATTTGCTGCATCACACGGGTCTCCTGTCCAAACAGAGCCAGGCCTGAGGCTGCTTAGCTTGTAAAATCTGACAGGATCATAGACAGGGGGATATTGCGACAGCTGTAGTTAGAGCCAACACGTTCTGCAGAGCTCTCCTCGGGCTGTTCATTTAGTCACCTCACTTCTTCTCAGCTGCAGGTGTCATCTAATCATGGCTGATGGGACTATTCGTCATCAAGGCAAGGCTCACCCTCCAGGAGCCACGGGTGACCTTGCCTACAGAATGCCAGGTTAGCAGGGCCAGGAACTAGACAGCCAATTAGGAGCAGCCCAAATTTCTGCTCAACATCCTTACAGAAACAGGAACTCCCCAGCAACTCGGTTCCTCTTCCTCATTTGTTACTTCTGCTCTCTGGGGTTTCCATAGACTCAAGTGAGTGGGTATGTTACAACGCACATGAGTGCTGTTCAGACCAGAGGCCAGGGAGATGTCACAGACTGGGCCAATGTTTGGGAGGTGAGAGAGAGAAGCGTCTGACGTGAGAGGCGAGAAGTTCAGTCTCCTATTGCAGATGCAGTTACAAGTGCTCCTAGGCCACTAGGCCTTATGTCAGAGACACAAGGAAACACTTCACAGACCAGACCCAGGTCTGATTTCTTTTCTGAAGATTCATGATTATTAAGCCAAATCCTGAGTTCTTTGCTCAGACCGACACATGAAAGTGAATGGGAATTTTGCCTGAGCAAGGACTGAGACAGAACCTTGCATTTGGTCCCTTATTTAGTTGTAGATTGAGAGTTCTGGAGAAAAAAGACGGTTATCTTTGTTACCTGTCTGTCCAGCATCGAGCACAATGGGGGCCTGACCCTCGATTGGGGATCCTAGTAATAAATAATAAGACAGGTAAGATGCTGCCGCCCTGGAGTACTCCCACTTACCATCAGTATCAGTAAGTGGAATAACAAGTAAGCTCCCTTTTCTGGATTTGTGGTGACTGCCACAAAGGGTGAATTTTCATCTGAGCCACCACCCTCAAGCACAAAACGAGAAGTGTGCACTGGTAGCTAAGCCATGGCTGACTGGCTTGACACACAGCTACCTCAACAGGCCTAAACAACACCCCCTCTGCTACCCCCAAAATCAGTACATTCAGCTCAGGGACTGAGTGCCTTTGAAATCTCTTCCCCGCATCTTGTTTAAGGAAAAACAAGGAAGATTATGAACACACTGCATTTAACCCCTGGAGGCCAGACCCTGCACCATGCAGCACACCCTACAAACTCTGACGCAAGACACCTGGGTTGTTTCAGATTGATGCTAAAATGGCTCACCAAGTCAGTGTGTGCAAGTGACTTAACCGCCCTCATGCCTTCATTCCCCCCGTTGTCAAATGGCAACAATTCCCACTCACCTTGCCGAGTAACTCTGCAACCGTTGCTGTGTATGTGCACCAAATTATTCATTAGAAACAAACCAAATCAGAGACACGCGCGTACTCCAAAAGCTTGTGTATCCAAATCAAAGTTACATTTAAAAACCAACACATCTTTGGCAGTAGAATTAATGGGCAAACAGGGCCACTGCAGAATCCCAGAGTTAGATGCTTCATGTAACCTCTAGCCCCAAATAGCA